TGTGAAGGAAGGAAGGAAGGAAGGAAGGAAGGAAGGAAGGAAGGAAGGAAAAACAGGGGAACTGAGGAGTGGCAGAGTTTACCAGCCACAGCCACCTGTGCATGTGGGCTACAGCCCTGCCCTCTGGGCTGGAGAAAATCTGAGCCAGCTTCCAGGAGGAGGAAAAAACTCAGCCTCGGAGAAGGTGGCTGCCCTGTGTGCTCTTGGGACACCTGCCTGTGCTTTCCCCCATCACCGCACTTAATCACTGGTTTTTTCTCTGGAGCTCAGCTGTGTGACCCTGGGAGAGTGGCTTACCCTCTCTGTGCCTTGGTTTCTTTATCTGTAATATTGGGCTGGGGCAATGCCTCCCTCATCATAGAGCAGTGCCCTCCTTCCTGGGTAAGTAGGCTTTAAAACTGGCAGTCCTGGGGCACCTGGGTGGCTCAGTGGGTTCAAGCCTCTGCCTTCAGCTCAGGTCATGATCCCAGGATCCCGGGATGGAACCCCACATCGGGCTCTCTGCTCAGCGGGGAGCCTGTTTCCTTCCCCTGTCTCTCTGCCTACCTCTCTGTCTACTTGTGATCTCTGTCAAATAAATAAATAAAATCTTAAAAAATAAAACTGGCAGTCTTTAGATCTCATCCGCTTGTGGTACCAGCTCAGTAATGTCCGTCATGATTCCTCTGGGATTCCTGGGTGCACGCTCAGCTCATGTGGATTCCTGCTCACCCTAGTTAATATTACAGAATGGCTGTGGCTGTTAGAAGTCACCCACGAGCCTGAGACGACCCGGGAAGGCATCGTTCCCTGGAGAACAGAGTCTGGGTCCTCAAGGTGGCTGGAAAGTGCCTGGGCTGACAGGTTCCTGTAGGAAGATACTTTTGGGGGATTTGCCAGGGCGCTGCAGCCAGGAGAGCTAGAAGTCTGCCCAGAGCCCAGTGGGGGGCTCTCTGGGAGCTTGGGGGTGTCACCGCAGTCCCCAGAGCTGCCAGGTGCAGCAATAAACCAGGGAAATCCTGGTGGGTGAGTCATTAGTGGTCCCCAAAGCCCCATGATGGGAGATGGCAGGCAGGCAGCTCCTGGCTACTACTTCTGGGGTCTCAGTGCCGCCATTCACCATTCTGGAACCATTCTGGGTTCCAGAGCCCAGTCTGGCGGGTCCAGTCCCTGCTTCCAGGTTGGACTCTGCCCAGCACCTAGCACCGGTCCCAGTGGGTCCCTGAGGCACAATGATCACCACCAGGGTCACCCCTGCTTCTTGAGGCTGTTTATTGGGGATGTCGAGGCTTACACAGGGCTGCTTGGAGGCGGCAGCATACAGAGTCTCTGTGGAGGGCTTTGATGGCCTTCCACAGGAGCCCCTGGAAGGTGCAGACCATCTGTCACTTAGGACATATTTAGAAGAGAATGACAAAGGGACCCAAAGAGGCAGAAATGTTGGGGAGGGGGAGGACACAGGCGGTGGGATTTAGATAATGGCAGACAAAGGCAGAGGGATGGGAAGGAGTAGTGGGCAGCCCCTCTTGGCTGGGGGACACCAGACTGTCCCTCTTTCTAGTCAACAGCCCTCCTAAGCCCCTTGCCCCAAATCCCCCAGGCAGCTGGGCTGCAAAGAACGGTGGCAGTCACCACCCCCCTATCCTCGCCTCCTGTTCCTCTGTCCAGGTCTCACCATGCCCCCACCTCCTGGCCTTGAGAGCCCAGATGTCCCCCCGCCCATGCCCTAGGCAGTGGCTCGGGTCCCCTGTTCTGTGCTCCCAAAGCCCCGGGGCCTCACACCATAACACTTGACACTCTGTCCTGGGATTGCCCCGTTGAGTCCATGTCCCCCACCAGACGGTGGCCCCCTGGGAGCAGAGGTGGTCATTCTGGTGCCTGCTTGTGTGCCTCAGGCCCAGCATGTGCACAGCACACGGTAGTTGCTGCCGCACAAGGAAAGTGGGCTAGTCCGTGAGGCAGTTTCTGCCGCCGGAGCTCCAACCCCCACCCCTGCACCAAAGAAATCTCTCTCTCCCTGACTTTGCCCTGGTTTGCCCCGTGCCCCTTGTGCTGGAGTATGGACCCAGGAAGGAAGGGTCCTCCAGATCGCCCCACTTTGCCCCCGGGGATGGGGGAGGAGGGAGCCCACCCAGCACAGCTGTATGTTGGGGTCAGTCTCCAGACCCCCACTCTTAATCTGTGTGACCTTGAGAAAGAGCTTAACCTCTACGGGCCTTGGTTTCCCTCCACAACGAATGGTTATAGTAAGAGTAGCTTATGAGAAGAGCTGGAAAAGCTGAACGCTGGGGTGGGACACAGGGGGACCTAGTCTCTGCTCCAGCTCCCATGTCTGTGCCGGCCTGGGCAAATCCCCCTAACCTCTCTGGCCTTTGGAGTCCAGATCAACAAGCAGAGCTCCGGAGAAGCTCTCCAGGGAGGGAGCACTCCGATGGAAGGAGTGGTAATTTTCTTGCCTCTCCATTACTTCCTTTTGCCCTGGGTAGGGAGTCATTCCTCCCTCTCTGTCAGGCACCAGCTAGACCCAGCCCCCACTACCCACACGGACCTGGCCCAGGTCTCCACAGGGCCCAGGGCGGGGTCAGTGGTTCAGGGAAGGAGTGGGACTCAGGGATATGAATGCTCAGGGTGAGATGGCAGACAGGAACAGAAGAGCTGGGATGGGCAGGGGTAGGGGGGAGTACACCTGCCATGCCGCACCCCCTCATAGGGGGACGTTGGGGGTGAGGTGGGGTAGCGGAGGTTATGGGGGAACAGAAGCCACCAAGAAGCCACCACAACCACTTTCCTGGCCTTCCCAACAGGCTGACATGCTGTTGCCTGGAGCCCAGGAGGGGCTGCCAGCCCTGAGTGGAAATGTACCAGTAAAAAGGGCCCTATTGGGACCCTGGGGAGAGGACCCTGGGTGCTGTCAGGGAGGAGTGACAGCCTGAGAACCTGGGGACCGCTGGAAAGGGGTCCGTTCCCATGCAGTGCTCCCTCCCACCTTCCTTGTTGCTCACCCATGTTCAAGGACCCTCCGTAGGCCCAGGGTCATGGCTGACCGACAGCAGCGGGGAAGACAACCCGGAATGAGGGCACTGGGGGCGCTGGGAGGGTACATGAAGGTGCTTCCAGCTGTGTGTGCTGTGGGTCCCTGTGTGCGTGTGCGGCGTCTCTGTGCGGTGTGTTTCTCTGGGGTCCGTACAGTGTGTCTGATGGTGTGTGTGTCTCGGATGTTTCTCTGCCGTGTGTGGTGTGTGTGTGCACCAGCGCGCACCTGCGTCCAGTGGGCCTGCAGGCCCGTGTCCCTGGGTGTCCGCGCTGTGAGCGGCCGGATGGGAGGCTCAGGGTCCACGTACAAGGTCCTCTCGACACAGAATCCATGTTGTCGAGGAGGGAGAGGGGAGACAAGGGAGGCGAGCAGGCCACGGCAGAAGAGCCTGGCGCGCAGGGAACGGGCCGGGGGGTGGGGTGGGGGGGGGATGCGGCGAGGCTGCAGGAAGGCCGGGAGGGGCTGGCCCGGGGTGCAGGTCGCAGCGGGACGCCCCTCGCCCACCCCACATGTCGCGGAGTATGGTCGCGCCCCCCCACCCCACCCCGATTTCCAGGCTCGTCGATCGCCACTTAGTAGTTTTTGGCTTTAACGGCAACAAAAAGCAGCGAGAAGAAGTTGGGGGGTGGGGAGCGGGGCTGTCCCCCCAGGCCCGCCGCGAACCCGGGGCAGGTGGAAGGCGGCGGCGCGGGTCCGCGTCGGGAGGAGGGCGCGGGCGGGAGACGGGCGCGGGCGGGAGACAGGAGCGCGGCGCGAGGGGAAAAGTTTCCGACCTCGGAGCTGGAGGCTGAGAAGTTTCCGCCGCGCAGGGCGGCGCCAAAGCCAGGCCAACACTGCCCCCGCGTGGGCGCCTGGCGGCGCTGCAGCAGGCGGCGGGGCGAGGGCTCGCTGCGGCCCTTGAGGAGAAACTGAGGCTCGGAGAGGGCGAGGCGGACGGCGCAAGGTCACCGGGGTGGGTGCGCGGCCGAATCCGGCCTCCTCTGAGGCCCGCAGACTCTCCAGGAAATGGAAATACTAGGGTGGTTGGGGGGTAGTGAAAGCGCAGAAAAAGGGGTGGTGGGGAGCCGTCCCTGGGATCGAAACCCCAGCCAGTCCCCCGGGAAGGGGAGTTGGAGGGCTGCCCCCATCCCATCCCCCACAGACTTTCTCCAAACTGCCTAGATCTGTGGCCTTTCTTCTGGAGGCAGAGCACCCCTGCAGAAACAAATCCTCCCCCATTCACTACCCTCCTGGCCCTAAGATTCCCACTGCCTTGCCCCCGCCCAGCAGCTCCCCCATCTCACCCTTTCATTCGGCCTGGTGCCTGGGTGTGGATTCCGTGGCTGTTTCCTCACTGGCCAGGAGGTGGCGATAAAGACCCGGATCCTCGGTGTGCCGAGGGGTTGGGGCCAAAGCGTTGCTTGGACAGAGGAGAGGGGGGCTTCAACTTTGTCCGGGAGATTGAAACCCAGGTGTGGGGCTGGCAATGCTGGGTCAGTGCAGCGATCAGATCAACGCCACCTGGTCTTTTGTCACCACCCGATGTGATTTTGAACACTGCCCACCCTTCCTTCTGCCACCACTAGGAGAGAAACATCTGGTCCCCACCCACCCTGGATGCTTGCCCTCCAGGGACCTGGGGAATGCAGAAGACAAACGTTTGTCCACCCCGTGGAGTCTGGACACCCTCATCCCATGACAGAAGTCAACAAGTAGGCTTTGGTTCCAGTCAAAGAGGGAACTGGGGCCCGGGCTCAGGACAGGTGCCTGTTACAGGTGTGGCTTGATCAAGGTTGACAGAGGCTTGGTCCCAAGTTCAAAGTGTATGGCAGGCCCTCCCCGCTTCCAGAAGAGGGGTTCACCTAGAACAAGCCCTGGTCCCTGATGATGGCCTGTCCCCAACCCTCAGCCTCATCCCAGCCATGACTTTGTCCTTTCCCTCTCCTTGGCCCAGGACCCCTGGAGACAAGTAACCTGGCACCCAGAAAGGCTTGTGGGGTAGGACATGGTAGCAGGTCCCAGCCATCTGGAATGCATGTTTATTTGGGGGGTGAGAAAGGCTTCTCCTCACCCCCTGGCCCGTGTCCGTGCATGGGCCTGGGCTCCAGTAGCCATTCACCGGGGAGACCCCTGTGGCGTTGTGGAAGGCAGGAGGAGCTGGTAACCCTTAGGGCAGCTTGGCTTCAGGACTGGGTGCAGCTCCAAGCTGGGCGGGAAGGATTCCTAGAGAGACCAGGAGGACCCGCTGTTGCCAGATGCTGTGGGGCAGGCTAGGGGAGGGGTTGGGGGGTCTGGGCCGGAAACAAGTCTCCCTGGGCCCTGGGGGGGGGCGGATTCTATACCCCAGTCCAAGGGGGCAGGCACTGGATTCAGCCCCACTGTACACATGAGGGGATGCAAACCCCCTAAAGACCCCAGTGCTTGCAAGGATGGGGCTGGGAATCCGGACCCAGCTCAGCACGAGAGCCCAGCCCTTAGCCACGTGCAGGGAGGCCTCATCTGGCACCCCGCCGCCCCATTGCGCAGGGGTTCTCCGGGCAGCTGGCTGCTAGCAGGTGCTCACCAGTGTCTGGCCCCAGGAGCAGGGCGATGGCCTCCCAGCCCCAGGATGTCATCCGTGTCCTGCCAGGTTGGGAGTTCACCTCGCAGCCTCCGTGTGGTGGCCCTGGGGATGCCGGACAGGCTGCGTTTCATGGAGGCATCCTCAGGGAGGTGACCCGGTGGCTCCTGGGTGGACCTGCGGGGGACAGGAGCCTGTGAGCTGCATGGCCCCTGAATCCCCCGTCCACCCATGGCTGGCAGATCCCTCAAGCCTGTGACCCTTCGCCTGCCCACTGCTGGATGGGGTCGTCTACAGGATGAGGAGGGATTCCTGGCAGTGCCTCTGAATCCTGTCCCCTTCCCCGAAGCCTCACAGGCCGGGGCAGTCCCAGCCGAACGAGACGTTGGCCATGGCCTCCTCCTTGGACCTGCACACGGGGTTTTGGGCAAACTCTCCGGTCATCTCCTGACGCTCCCGAGCACCCGTTCCGATGTTGACCGGGGAGCTAGCCCATTCTCGGTGGTACCCTGCCGGACTGGAGGAGAGAGGGCTCCAGTAAGATCTCTACCTTGTTGGGGGGGCGGGGGGTGGGTGCCAGCACCCCCACTCTCCCCTCCTCCCTCTCTGGCAGGCAAGGCCGGGCAGAACCCTGTCTCCATGGCAACCCAAGGCTCCCCAGTGCCTGATGGCTGCCTCCGGAGAAGGCTCAGGTTTTAAAACTATCTTGCGTGACTGTTTCTGCCTTTATTACCCAAACTGTGCCCCCCACCCCCCGCCACATACCCACTCCTGCTGTAGCCCCAATGGGCCTCCTTTCCCATAGTGGGAAGGCCAGTCAGGCCACTGTGGAAATCCAGAGACAATGGTGAGATCCTGCAGGGGTTGGGGGCTCGGAGTCTCTCCTGCCCGATTGGCTGCCTTCCTGGCTGGCCAGGGACCCCAAGCTCCCCAATGGCTGTCTCAGGATGGAAAGGGCTGGGGAGCGGTCAGCCGAGAGCCCCGCTCTGGGGCCCTGGGACGTGACCACAGCTCCTGTGGCCACTGGCCCACATGGAGTCTTCTCTCCTGAGCTAGCCAGCTGCCATTCCCACGGAATGGTCTCCCCCTGGGGGCCCCCAGGTCTCTCTCCTCCGCAGCTGTGTCACCTGCTCTGGGAAGCCTTGGCTTGCCTGTCAAACCACAAGCCACGGGACAAAACTGCAGCTTCTGTCTCCAACTTCCTATGACCCTCAGGGGCCCAGGGAGCGTCCCTCCTGAATCAGCAAAGATCCTGGATCTTAGGGCTTTACCCACAACTAGGCTCTGGAGCAGCCACGTTTCCTGAAACTGCACACAGTAGTTGGTCAATAAACAGATGGAAGCTCTTGGAAGCCCTGGGGCTGCCAGTTCCCGAGAAGTGAAGAGGCCAGGCTGATGGAGAAACGGGCGGGGCGGGGGGGATTGGTAAAGGTTATACCAGAGCAAGGACACGCATTCTTCCCACCTGCTTCTTGACACCCACTTCAGAAAACACTGGAAACTGTGCCAAGCAGACACCACCACATCCAATCCCCAAGGAGCCGAGGGCAAAGTTGCATCTCAGAACCGGGGCCTGGTGGTTCCTAGCTTCTTTGCTGGACCAGCCAGTGCCAGCCTCCCCCAGAGAGAAGGTCTGATCTTCTGGACCTTTCTGGGCATCTCCTCAGCAGGGCAGGCCTTGGTGTATATGGGAAGATGCTTTAGGTGACTTGCCACCTTCTTCAGCCTCCATAGGCCATGGAGGGGGCCAGATGTGGGAGTCGGGAGGCTGTGCGTGCCTGTTCTAAGGTGGGCAGATCTGGCGCTTGGGAACCAGTGGCAGTGAGAAGGCCTTCGGGGGTGGCCAGGCATGGGCAGCCATTGTGGCCTCCACGGTGACTGCTCCTTGGTGCCACCCACGCTGGGACACTGCTGCAGAACCTCCGACCCCTCTATTTGGTCTTTGAGACCCTCCTGATACTCTGGAGAAGCCAGCTCGAGTGCCGTCTGGGCAAGGTCAGTGAATTCCTGGCCTCTGGAGGCCAGCCCTGACTCCTGGGACCCAGAGCCGAAGCATCTGCTTTCCGGACTGCAAGCTGGAACTTTCTGGAGGCCCGAGGCTCCCCGCGCTGTCCGCTTACCTGCACAGCTGCGCTCCCAGTAGCGGAGCGCTGTGTCCCGCAGGGTCTCGTCAGCGAATCGCACTCGGAAGGGGCAAAACCGCTTACGTTGCCCTGAGCTCTCCCCCGAGGAGCTGTGGGAGAGCACGGCCTTGAGCCTGGGGGCCGGCGCACCGTGGGGCCTGCTGAGAGTGACCAGAGGGGCAGGGGAGGGTCAGGACCTGAGCCCCTAGGCCCACACCCCAGCCCTGCAACACATAACCATGGGACCAGAGCTTGCTGTGTATCCTGACACCCACAGTAGCTGGCCTTTTTGGGGAGTACTGCCTGCCCGCCGGGCCACAGAACACGCACAGACCATGCCTCAGCCTATGACACCCACACAACCCTGGGAAACATGATCATTAGTCCCATTTTACAGAGGAGCAAATCGCGACACAGAGACGTTTTGCAACTTGTCCAAGGTCACACAGCCGGTAAAGGGTAGAGCCAAGATTTTTTCTTTTTCTTTTCTTTTCTCTTTTTTTAAATTTTTATTTATTTATTTATTTATTTATTTATTTATAGCTAAGATTTGAGTCTTAGTTCCAGAGCTGACCATCCTATATACCAAATAATTCAGCAGAGAGAAGAATATGAACTTGAGAGTCAAGGAGGCCTGGGTTTCCATCCTAACTCTTTGAAGCCTCAGTTTCTTTATCTGTAAACTGGGCATCATCCTTGTGCCCGCCACACAGGGTGGCGAGATGAACCGGATGCCATAACACTGCACCCAGGCTGTGGGCTGCCCAGGGTAAGCATCTGTAACTTCAAACTGTTCTTATAACCATCAGTCTCAGCTATGCCTCTTTCCAGGCACGTGAACTTGGGGAGACCACACTTGAGTCCTCCATGTTGCAGTTTTCCCCTTTCAGCTATATATGATATAGTGTAGGCGTGATAGTAGCCCCCTGATAAAAGTTTGGTAAGTATGAAATAACTTACGGGAGGCATCTCGTGCAAGGCCTGGCATGGGGCCCGCCCTCAGTAAAGGGCATTCTGTTGTCGTTACATTTATTAATTTCAGCCTCAAGGGCAAGGCTGCAAGAGGGCCTGCTTGATCCATCCATGGCTCTGTTATTCAGAAATGCCACGTTCCACCTTAAGGACACACATATTGATGTATCCCTGCATCCATTTCTCTGACTACATCTTTATGTCTCTGTGGGCACATGAGTGACGCTTTCATCAGCCCACCAAAGAGCCAGGCAGCCGGGAGGTGTCCCAGACGGTTACAGGCATTGGGAGCTAGGGATCCAACACTTGTCTGCTTATCAGCCTCTGGTCTGTGCTGGCCTCGGGGCCAGACACAGGTGCACCCCAGCTCTGCCCAGGGGACTGAAATCTCAGTTCTGCTATCAGAGGCTACTGGAGCCTATTCCAACGTAGCCTGGTGCCCCTCCCGCAGGGCCTACCAGGGGATCTTGCCCACCATGGGGTGCTCGAGTATTAGTTCTTAAATGTGAAACACCATGACTCTGTCCACCCCTGCTGTTTGTCATATTTGAGCTAATGAGTTCCATACTTTTATTTATTCTATCTTGTGAGACGTAGTCTGTTGATTCGATTGATTTAAAGTTCCTGGCTTGGCAAATGTGTTTCACTTCTGGCGCCTTCTCTGAGCCATCGGTGGTGTCTGCCTGGAGCACTGTGTCAGGGAGGGTTCAAGGCCCAGTGGGGGGACAACGCAGGGATCACATAGTATTGTCAGCCATGGGTCCAGAAGGACAAGGGATGGCAAGTATGTCTTGTGTTTACTCTCTTTGTTTTTTAAACTCGTGGGCAACGCTCTTCACAGTTCACCTCAGTTTAACCCTCTTAATGCTGGAGGAGTTTTTTCTGCATTCTTTTTCCTCTTCATTAAAGCTATGGCACTGAGGCCCAGGAAGCTCTAATGCCCAGGCTCTTCTACCTCCATCCCTTATCTTATTTCCTCCGATTTCTGACTTATAACAAAACCTATTAAAAGCTAGAAGAAGAAACGGACAAATGAATGGTGGGATGGGTAAAAGGATGGAAGACTGGGTGGGTGGATGGATGGATGGATTCATGAATGAGTTAATGAAAAGGTCTGATAGAAGGACTGGAAGTTAGGAGGATGGGTGGATGGATGGATGGGTGGATGATTGCCTCTGTATATGGACTCGTAGATGGCTTCATGACAAAATTATAGATGGGGGTGCCTGGGTGGCTCAGTGGGTTAAAGCCTCTGCCTTCAGCTCAGGTCATGATCCCAGGTCCTGGGATCGAGACCTGCATCGGGTTCTCTGCTTGGCAGGGAGCCTGCTTCCTCCTCTCTCTCTGCCTGCCTCTCTGCCTATTTGTGATCTCTCTCTCTCTGTCAAATAAATAAATAAAATCTTTTTAAAAATTATAGATGGACAGTACCCTGGATTTACAAGTGCATGGAAGGATTTGTAGATGACCGATCATTGGACTCATGGATAGATGGATAGAATCATTGGAGTTTGTGGTTAGGATGACTGGCTAGATGGATGGATGGATGGATGGATGGATAGAGAGATTCATGGATGGGTTGTAGAAGACCTGGTTCACAGAGAAGATGTATGCAAGGATGGATAGGTGATGGGAGCTGGAATATCTGAATGGATTCACGGCTGGACTATGAATATGTTGGCAGAAGACTTGATGAATGAGTGGATGGGTTCATACATGTTGATGGATAATCCTGGATAGGTTGGGAGGAGACCTACTCTGGGACAGATCTATGTATTGATAGGTAAGTGGATAGATGGATGGATGGATGGATGGTTAGATGGATGGATGGACAGATGGATGGGTGGATTCATGAATGTATTATAAATAGTTTGTCAGAAGACCTGATTCAGGGGCGCCTGGGTGGCTCAGTGGGTTAAAGCCTCTGCCTTCAGCTCGGGTCATGATCCCGGGGTCCTGGGATCGAGCCCCACATCAGGCTCTCTGCTCAGCAGGGAGCCTGCTTCCTCCTCTCTCTCTCTGCCTGCCTCTCTGCCTACTTGTGATCTCTGTCAAATAAATAAATAAAATCTTAAAAAAAAAAAGAATTCCTGATTCATGGATGGACACATAGACGGATATACAAGTGTACAGATGGGTAAATTCATGGGTGAACGACAAGAGGAAAGAAAAGAAGAGATGCTCTTTCTCCCCATTCCCCTACCGCCAGTCTCCTGTAACTCACTGGTTGGCCTTCTTGAGGGTGAATTGTGAGTGATCTCTCCTCAGGGTCCCCAGGGCAGGTATTTGATGGAGCAAAATCTTCTTAAGACTATTCTGGAAGTACGATGACTGGCCCCTTGAAGACAAACAAGCCACACCTGGCATGAGTGGTCAGGGTCCGCCATCCTCAGAGCCCTGTTGGCAACCCTGTCCCCATCAGCGGGTAACTGACACTTACCGCAGGTCTGGAAGGAACCGACAGTGGGGACACTGGGGGGCATGGTGGCTGTGCTCTGACACACTCCTTTTTGGTCGTGATGCCCAGGATGCTGGGAGCCAGGAGGAGGTGGAAACAGCTATAGGCCTTGGCTTGGGGACAGTCCTTACTAGGCTGTTCCTAGTTATAGAGCTTGGGCCTCAGTTTCCTCAACTGTACAACAGGGGCAATGGCAGACCCAACCTCAAGGGACTGTGCCAGACCTTCCCCTCCCCACTAACAGTAGCTCCATCCATCCCGGAAACGACTCCGCCCCGCGCCTGCCCCGCCCCCGCCCCGCGCCCTGGGGAGTCCTGGAGAGGCCTCACTCGGCGGCCGGGGTTCCGCGCACTCTGCCCCCAGGTGGTGGAGGAACTCCCGGAACCTGCTGGGGAGAAGCTCTCCTAGGAGGGCGCGCAGGGAGTCCGGGGCCTCCCTGGCCGCGCCCCTGCAGGGATCCTCGCGCTCTCCAAGCCCCCGGCGCCGGGGCGCGAGCTCCCGGGGCGCACGGGCCAGGAGCAGGGGCGGCAGCAGGAGCGACCGCAGCCTTGTCCGGTTCTGCGCTCCGCGCTGGGCCAGGGTGGGCAGGGCGGGTAGACGCGGCGAGGGGTGCCGCACGTCTGGGTGCGAGGACCCGTTCGGCCACCACGCGCCGCCGCCCTCCGAGGCCCTCAAGCCGCTGGGGGACCCCGCGCCGAGGACGGGGCGGAGCTGGGGCAGGGGCAGCCTGGGCAGCAGCGGGTCTCTCCTTCGGCAAGCGCCGTCGCCGGGGAGCCCCTGGGGCTCCACCTGCTGGGCCCCGGGGTTGGGGGGACGCCGGGGCATGTCTGGCCCGGCGCTCAGCTCAGGGCATCCTCACGCCAGTTGGGGGTGACGGGGGTGCCGTGCGACCTGAAGACGAGGGAATAGGTCAGCCCCCAGGCCATAGTGCCCGGAGGGAGGTCCTTGTAGTTTTGGGGGTAACACCACTGCTTCGTCCGGCAGCGAGTGGCTTCAGGCCAGAGCTCGCCCAGCCTCTGTTTCCTCACCTGCAAAATGGTCACGTAAGAGTACACACCTTTCTGAGTTGCTGTGACGTTTAGGTGAGCCAGCACATGTAAATGGCCTAGAATAGTATCCGGCACGCTGTACGTGTTCAGCAGAGGCTAGCTGCTATTACTATTATTATTTTTAAAATTTTATTATTATTTAGGATTTAGTCCGAATCCCACTACTCATTAGCTTTGCAACCTTGGACAAGCCAACTGACTGACTTCTGTCAGTGCCCTCACCTGTAGAATGGGGATAACAGAGCACCTGTCCCTTTGTGACTTAGCCATCGGAGTGTTCAAGTCCTATTAGGCCCTTAGCGCTCCCCTGGGAATTAGGAAACCTGGAACCAGTTTGGAAGGAGAGAACTGCCCAGCAGTTGCCCAGTCCTGCTGGGGCCCCTTGGGTGGAGAGCTTGTTGAAAATACCGGTGCCCCAGATTCTGACTCCGTAGGTCTAGGGTGGGGCCAAGACACATATTTTCTTTTTAAGATTTTTTTTTTTTAATCTCTACCCCCAATGTGGGGCTCGAACTCACAGCCCTGAGATCAAGAGTGGCAAGCTAACCAGAACTACTCAGCCAGGAGCCCCAAGACACATATTTTTAACAAACTTGGCCTTTGGGAGACAGAGCCCCACGCCTGCCCCCAGCTTCTGACATGGGGTGGGGGCGTCTTGGAGCCTGCTTTCTCCCTATCACACCCCACTCCCAGACTGTCGTCAGCTCTGAGCTGGCTCCTGGTGTCACACTCACCTCGGGGGACTTCGGGTGGATCTAGAGAAGGTCCCTTGAGTTTAGAGCCCCCTAACCGGCGGGCTGGTCCTTGGGAGAGCCCATCTTCCCAGGCTGGTCCTGCTGGTGGACCCTCCCTGCTGCCTCCTGGGCCTCTTCAGGGTCATTGTGATCCGCCCCTCACCCAAGGCCATGTGAGGAGCGGTGGGCTCTCAGGCCTAGAGACGAAGGTGGGGCTTTGTACTCGGGAAGTCAAGGCTGCACTCACAGTGGGGTGGTGGGAAACCTGACAAGGGCAGCTGGGCCCAAGCCAAGGGCGGAGGGCCCAGGGGTCCACTGCCCTCTCTGGATCTGGGAGGCCCGGGTGGGTCAAGTTCGGGCTGGGCAACTCTGGAAGTAGAATTTCCTCGGGAAGGCTGGGCAGTAAGAATGCAGTGGGCCTGGAAACTAAGCGAACCAATTTCAAACCCAGGCTCCGCTTTTGTTTGCTACGCAATGCTGGATGAGTTTGTCCATTCTTGGGGCTTCATTCTGTGACTCTTGGCTGGGACGAGGCAGGGGGAGAAGCTTGTACTGTGACACTTGAGTGGGGAGAAGGGTTGTTTGGACCAGCAGTTTTGCTGGCATGGTATCCTGTTACAATCTGAGGAGTCTGCCTGGAGGAGGCATCGTAGCTGATATATCCATTCTCCACAAGTGCTCTTCAATGAGGGATGCAAAGGCATACCTCCTTAGGAAGTTAGAATATTGAGTGGGAAAAGTGAACATGTTTTATATTTATTCTTTTTTTTTTAAGATTTTTTACTTTTTTATTTGACAGAGATCACAAGTAGGCAGAGAGGCAGGCAGAGGGAGGGGGGGAAGCAGGCTCCCCGCTGAGCAGAGAGCCAATGCAGGGCTCGATCCCAGGACCCTAGAATCATGACCTGAGCCGAAAGCAGAGGCTTTAACCCACTGAGCCACCCAGGTGCCCCCATGTTTTATATTTATTCTAAGAATACGTGAGGTTTTGTTTTTTTTCTTTTTAAATGGATGAGAAACACTGGACTAACTAGATGATTTCTAAGGAGGCTTCCAGCTCTTGCCAGCTGCAAACATTTCTTGACCAACTACTGTGTGCAAGGCTTGGGAATTCAGAGATGTGAGAGGCTCTGAGGTCGGGGCTGTCCAGATCTGGAAAGGCCTCAGAGTCCAGATGGAGGGAAGGGACATTTCTTCCACTGACAGGAAAACAAAGGTAGGGGTGGATTTGGGGGCAACCCTAAAAGAGCTGTGCTCAGAGCTGCCTCCAAAGGAAGATTACAGACACACCCAGCAACTGAAATTGTCCAGGACTTACCCCTTCCCTTAGAGATATGGACAATGAAGCTTGGGAGAAGGGCCCAGGCCAGGGGAAGCAAGTCCGACCTGGAGTACTCAGGAGAGGATGCCATATACTATATACGTAAACAGATTTGGGGGACTCAACAGCAGTCAGCTGTCCCCCACCCCCCATAGCTTTTACTTCGTTAGAGCAAACACACTTTTTTTTTTTTTAATGATTTATTTATTTATTTATTTATTGGACAGAGAGAGAGAGTGAGCGAGCACAAGCAGCGGGAGCTGCAGGCAGAGGGAAAAGGGAGAAGCAGGCTCTCCGCAGAGCAGGGAGCCCAATGTGTGTCTTGATCCCAGACCCTAGGACCACAACCAGAGCTGAAGGTAGAGGCTTAACTGACTCAGTCACCCAGGCAACCCGAGCAAACACACTTTTAAGAACCTCCTGTGTTCATGATCCCAGGGTGCTGGGATCGAGCCCTGCGTCCGGCTCTCTGCTCGGCAGGGAGCCTGCTTCCTCCTCTCTCTCTCTCTCTGCCCGCCTCTCTGCCGACTTGTGATCTCTGTCAAATAAATAAATAAAATCTTTAAAAAAAAACAAAAAACAAACAAACAAAAAAACCTCCTGTTTGTGTTAAGCCCAGAGGAAGACACTGTAAACCTAAGACCAGGGCGTCAGTTTAGGAAAAATGAGCTTAGGCTAAGTACCTCTATTTACTGAGAGTCCCCAGCAGGCACAGGGCTGAAGTCTCGACCTGCAATATCCGACACTTTTAACACTGGCAGAAGAGGAGACTGAGGTTTGGAAGGTTCACCCACCGGCAAACTCAGAGTCCATCACGGTTGTTTCCGAAACCCCTCCAAACTTTCTGTACATGGGAGGAGCCTATAAGAGGGCAGGATTTTTGGAATGGAAACCTCAAGGACTTGTTCGTTCATTTGGGGTAACAGTGCGTTGGCACTATCAAAGGTACTTCTTTCTTTTCATTTCTTTCTTTCTCTCTTTCTCTCTCTCTTTCTTTTTTTCTTTCTTTCTTGGATCTGTATATTATTTTAAGATGCAAATTGTTATGGGTACGATTTGTAGAATAAGGCTTTCCCCCCGCCCATTTTTACCGAGTAGAAAAGCCACAGAACGCTCGTTTTTATAAGTCCAGCCTTCAGCCTCTAACCCGCCCCGCTTGCGTGCGGGAGACAGGACAGGCTTGGAGCTGAGGCTCTTTTAAATCCGAGAGGTCCTTCCCGGGACCCAAAAGTCAACTGAGGTCAGCCGCCCATGGGGCGGAGCGAACCGGTGGCGGGGCGGAGCTAGCCTCGGCCCCGCCTCCGGGCGCTCGGAAGTGACGTATATGGACAAAGGCAGCGCGCGCCGTGAGGTGTCGCGTTTGTCCGTGTTGGGACGGAGCTGGTGGTGGTCTTGTGGGTTCGTCTTCGCCGCTGCCGCCGACTTCCCTTCCTCTTTCCCATCCTCTTCTCCCGGGTCCCGGGAGCCCCCGCCCGGGGTGAGTAGCGCGAGGCGGAGCGGGGAGCTGTGGCCGGCGGGGGAAGGGAGGCCCCGGCCCTCAACTGCCTCGGTGCCCTGAGGCCCCAGCTCGTCACGTGACCCGGCGCGAGCTGCCGGGGGCCCCCACGTGTGTGTGCTCCGGGGTGGTCCGACCTGGGCCTCCGGTGGCGGCGGGTGGAGGAGGAAGGCCGAGGCACCGGGATCCTGGACGAGGCACTCCCCCGCGCCGTCCCGGGGCGGTACGCTAGACCCTTCCCTCTCTGAGCCTCAGTTTCCCCTGTGAGAAACGGGGATTAGGGAGAGCACGCACTCCGAAGGTAGGCGTCAGGATGCAGTAAAATGGTCAGGTCAGAGCCAGGCACAGAGTAGTGCTCGTGGCGTGGGAGTTGCTATCATATTTCACCTTGGACCCAGCCCCAGTTATGGCTGGACACTGGTGCCGCCTAGAAGACAGCTCGCTGCCTAGAGCCCTTGGAGCCAAGGTCAGCCAGTTTGTGGAGGGGCTGCCATGTCGAACGAAAGGCCCCGGCTCTGTTGCCCATCACTGGTAGGGTCTCTCTGGGATAGAAACAGCTGGTGTCAGAGCCCTGACGGTGCGGTGCGGCGCGGCGGGGCAGTCTTGCAGATGGTCTGGTCATTGCCAGGAGAGAGGGGATGAGCCCCTGGAGGACTTGGGCCTTGACTGTGTTAAGAAGTCCGGATTCCCTCCTTACACTGTTCCTGGTTTCCTGTGTGTATGTGTGTTAAGACATATCACTCCTTCAGTAGAATGGTTTTCTGTCCCTCAGCTGGGTTCTGGGGAAGGGTTGGGGTACATATGGAATGCTTTGGTGGGGACCAGAAGCCATAGAGTCACAAAGATAGCGTCTCCGGAATCTCTGCAGCGTTTCTGTGCCTGCACAGGTGGGAAGCTCACTCCCCTCTCCCGCAGGTTTGCAGAGCCGTTTGTCTGCTGGATTGACCCCCAGCATCACTGTAATAATCCCTGAAGCGTGTCTAACACACTGAAGTTTATAAGGCATTTCACTGCATTTTTCCCGCTTGACCCGTACAGTTGGCAGAGAATTGATGAAAATCTCATTTGACCGAGATTTCTAAACTTGAGATAATACAGTGCCGGCCACTGTACAGATCACTTGATGCTTTCACACCCACCTTTAATCATCACAGTGTTCTTGTAAAGTCAACGTTGCTGTTCCCATTTCATAGATAAACTTACTTAACCAAGGCTCAGTGTCTTATATGAGCTTACGTAGCCAGAGAGAAGCAAAGCCAGGATTCAAACGTGGTTCATTTGACTCCACCAGAGCCTTTGTTTTTATACACTCCCATCTCCCCTCCGCCCCCTGCCTTTTTAAGTCTTCTTTACTTCCTCCGTCCT